GAGAGACTTCCAAGTGGAATACATTCTAAAGCTGGGTCAAGTCAGGAAAACATGGTCACTTAGAAAAAGTTGTGGAGTTTGGCTCAGTGAACTAATTTAAAGCAATCATAGTAGATGTGGTTAAGTACACACATGCATATTTGCTTAAAAACACAAATCTCCACACCCCTTCCTCTTTGCTTACAACCTCCACATGTATTACTATAACTGAACTATGTTCCATTTAATATGTTGATTTTAAAATATATTGATAGGCGGGGGGGATGTTACATCAGCAAATGTTCTTATGATGATTAAAGGTCAATAGCTTAATCTTTTTATTAGGTTTATATATAATGGCAAACAGAAATGTTTCTTTTTAAAGTAGAACTGATATTCACCCTTCCACAATGCTAATTTAGCCATTAATTAGAGCAGCATAATTATTTTAGTAAGCTGAATAATGTCACTATTTCATATCTACTTTCTGATATGGTATAACAGATTAATAGGATTTTAACAAATACAATGCAATGCACCCTGCATGTCAGTCATATAGAAGAATCAACTGGGTTACATACAATGATGACAAAGAAAAAGGCCATGAGTTCACAGGGCTCCCATTGGCTGGATATGAAAAGGCTAAACACCATGGCCAGGATCCAAAAAATCTATTTCAGGCATGCCCCAGGCTCTGCTGTGCCCCACATGTGCTTTTTAAAATAATGTTCTATGTGAATAGCAGACCACCATGCTGTATAACAGTTTTTGAAACTTCCCTTACCTGCAAATGTGTCTTGCCATCTAGTATGGGGTAGCGCTGTCTGTAAAACCCCTTAAATACACAGAACTAGTTACATGGTTCTTTGGATTACACTTACAAAAACACAGAATCTTCTATCTTAAAACAACTGTTGAGATGAAAAAATGAATTGCATGCTGACCCATATTTTTCTCTATCACAGAAAATGGGTGCTACCTGGAAAAGTTTAGATTCATGCTCAAATCCCCTTGAAGTCCAAAAATTAAGCATAACATGCAACAACCAAATCTATGCTTGTTTTCTTAAAGATAAATTCCACATAGGAAAGAAGACCATTGTTCTATCAGGTTTACTTCTGATTAACTAGATTGTCACTGGGGTGTTAGTATGACGGGACTGTTTATAATTTTATCCAGTTGATATCAATATAGCCTACTAGAACTAACTAATGTCAATTGAGTGGTAGTACACAGAACTGTGGAGTGGGAAAGAACTGAGCAGAAGGGCAAACATGAAGAACAACGTATTCACAAAGGCTTTCACAGCTGGGATCTAATGGTTGTTGTGGGTTTTTCAGGCTCTTTGGACGTGTTCTGAAGGTTGTTCTTCCTAACGTTTCGCCAATCTCTGTGGCCGACACAGAGTGCTGTCCTCTGAAGATGCCAGCCACAGAGACAACCTTCAGAACATGGCCAAAGAGCCCGAGAAACCCACAACAACCATGAAGAACAACCACTGTGAAAACTGGAATTCTCTTCTGCTCCGATTCTGTACACTCATCTTGTCTATCATGCAGGTTAACACACATTTTCTTCCAAATGTTTTAAAGAGCACTTTCTGCAAGGTGACAGAGACACTTTATATGTCATCCTTCCCATGGAAAGCAGCCTCTCTTATTTTCATGTTCAGTGGCCTCATCATCTGACAAGCCACTGCATGAATTATTACAAAATAAAGTGTCCTGTCCCAGTTCACATCAATAGCAGCTGTCAGTGGAGGAATTTACTAATTGATAGTCTCAGGCCCTACAGTTCGTTGTACTAAATGTTAGCAGTAGAAGATAGACAAACTATTAAAAGAATGATGATCTACACATGTAACATCTAGATCACTATGTGTTAAATACTACTGTTTGGACTGAAGATGATCAATAATTTCCCATACTTCCAAAACCATGCTAAATATTAGCGGCTTGCAAAATCACTGTAACGTTTCTGTTCTACTGGCTGAAGTGACACATATGCTTTGCTACCACATAGTATATCAGTTGTAAAACCCACTCTAAACTGCCATAGGCTATATCCCAGTAATCCTAGTGTGAAGACACCAATCATAGTAGTGTGCAGTATAAACCTATGGATGCATTATGTTAAGCACATGGTTCTTAACTATGGAACAATCCAGGAATCACATTTCTCAATCATAACGTTCAATTGGTATAGGCAACTTATTTAAACGTAACTGAAAATATAGCTATTTAAATAAAAATTCAAATTCAAATTTGAAATGAAAATTAAACATGGAGTTCTTATGATACCATGCCAGTATGTTCAATATGTTTAAACAAATCACCAGTTATTTTTCTTTTTTTAAAAAAATGAAGCTATAAATTGAAGTGTGCTAAATGTGAAATTAGTATGTAGAGGTGGCTGAGAGTATACCAAGGCTGTGAATATAGCACACAAACAAATTAAGGAAATGCTGTCCTATCCCTTGTACTAAAAGTAAGGCATTTCCTTGAAGCAACCAAGGAATCATGCACTGGATTTAAATTCTGATTATCTCATCTGATAGAAATAATCTAGACAAAGTTTCCACTTTAGAATTTTTGGAAGATATTTAAGGATTAATTATTGTATGTAATTAATTATTATATATTTTTTAAAACGAGACAGGTGCATAATTTAAAAGTGTACATGTGTTTTAATGTAATTTATCAACTCTGAGATGTCATGCTACAGGAGGTACCCACTCAGTTTCAGATGGAGAAATAGTACTTCTTTCGTTTTAGGACTGAATCATAAAGATAGAGATGGACATGCTCAAGAATCAAAATGCATGCAAGAATTTGAACTCCTTACCAATGTACATTCATTTAACCTTAAGACAACTATCACTGTATATTTGAAGAGCTCTGTTAATTCTTAATTTGAGCAGGAAAATTTTTTTCTTCTGCTGTCAAAAGTTTACAGTGCAATTCCATGCTTGCTCAATTTGAAACCAGTTCTATTGTGTTCAGTGAAGCACACATCATAGTTAAGTGTGTTTAGTATTATAGCCTTAAACTTTTGGAAATTATAAAAAAACTCATTAAGCACACATGTCCTGTGTGATAAAACAGGTTTATGTTCAGGGGGAAAAATCATTAGCCATGCAGAGTGCCCTGCCAGGTGTGTGATCTATCAATTTTTTTCTCCCTCCCTAAAACTGCAAAAACAGAAGTTGTCAATTATCTGGTATGCTATGTCCAGTTTGTTTTGCCTTAAAGACCATTGAATGAACAACTGTGGGACTAGTCAATGTAGATCTGTAGATTTCGAGCAGGGTTGGAAAAAGTGTATTCCTCCAGATGACATTGGACTGCAATTACCACTCCTTACTATCAGCTAATTTGTAGCATGTTTAGATTTGCAGCATGTTCAGAAAATATTCCAGCTCTGACAAGTAAGTGTTTATCCAGTAGTCTATTTGCCTAAGCAATATAAGAACGTGGATTATATATGTCATTTACAAGTGCATAGCTTATTTTCAGTATAAAGTTCTATGTGATTTCTATGTTCACAAAGGAAGAACTGCAATCTCATACGAGAGCCCTCCTCACAAATTATGGTGCTCATGGAAGGATAATACTAATATGAACTTCAGAATTCACACTGAAGTGATATCTTTACTATGCTAACCAAAGGGGCACAATGTAGTATGCAAGCTGTTCATCGGGCAGTACATCAAATGTAAATGGGAAGAAGAAGAAAATCTACCCTGATGAAGAGATTGTATTAACAAAAGCTTGCACATTTATTTTTTTTTAAAAGTTTGGCATAATAAAGATATCACAGCAGTACAGATTTTGGAACTGATTTTGACCAACAGAATTAACCCTGCTTTTGTTGGTGACTCAGATGACTTATCCATTCTATGAAGCCCCCCAACAGAGATGTCTCCCTCACTGTGGAACTGTCTCGGTGTGAGAGACAGATTAGAATAACTATGCTGGCTGGAACTGGTGGGAAGGCTGCAACATATTATCTGAAGAGAAAGGTTAACTAAAATTGGCAGATAATATTGAAGTAGTTCTCACCTGTGTTGGTTAAAGGCTGAAATCCTGTTCAATAACTGCCCCCCATGTAAAGCTGCTAACATCATAAGTCACAGTGATTTTTTTCGGAAATAAAATATTTTCAATTTCTCCCTGAAGGTCCCCAAGACTGTTATGGAATTTTTTCCACTATCTGGAAGCCATTTGGGACTCTTAAGAGTGAATGTTTAATTGCTGAAAAACACTGCTGCCAGGATGACTTTACTGGTAGCATTGATTTTCAGTAATTAAAGATCCTGCTGCCTGTCCTAAAGCTTCCCATAGCATTCCACAAGAGTCTCAGGATCTTTGGGGGACAAAATAGAAATGTTTTATTTCTGAAAAATTACTGTGACTGATGATGTCATCAGCCTTACGTGGTGTAAGTTACAGAACAGGATTTCAGCCACTATTTAGTCTGACCTCTGCTTATACACACATTTGGATAATTTTGATTATCAATCCTACTACAATCAAGATGTAAAATAACCAATGTGATGTTTATCCTAAGCAAAAAACTTTGTGACATAGAACAAAATGTCAGAGAATTCTGAGGTATTAACTGACTTCAAAATTCAGAATTCTGAGATGCTACCAATTCCAGAATTCAGTCTCTTTTGCAGTAATTTAAACACACAGGAGTTCCAAAATGTAGACAGAATTTTTACAAATGCAAAGGAATACCTATTTGTTTCAACTCACATGAAAATCCGATACATGAGAAGGACATACATGGGAAGATATATTGTCATAAAAGTGAATTTTAAAAAAAGCCCCAGAAATCTAGGAGCCAGATTGGCTCTGGCTATAAGAATTCTTGTTAGTGAAACAATATTGATGAGGGATGTTTTTTTTTTTCATTTTGTTTATCATCATAATCAGTCAAGGCCACATTTCAGCACAGGATTAGGCACAAATAAGCTCACTAGAATCAATATAATCAATATACATAAACACACTGTGTTGGATTGTGGCCCCCATTTTTATTACAACTATGTACTTCAAACAGGCCAATGTTTTAAAATACATTACAGATGAATATTCATAGGTAAGGGGCAAAATAATTTATACTTTCCTTATTCAAAGAAAACCAGACTATGGACAGAAGTTATTTTTCAGTTCTTAATGAACAAAATTCCTGAAATCAAGTTGACACAACTATGTGGGTGTAAATGGCAATGACATATTCAGCCCATAACTTTTTAATACAATTCAACTGAATCAAAAGTTTCCTTTACCACCACCACCCCTCAAGTCCCAAGGCTCCTCAAAAATCACTTTAGATCCAGGGAAGATTTCAGGAGCCTTGGGATTGGGGTGGGGGCTTTAACAACAGAAATTTGCCTCTGGATCACCAGCAACAACAATCCAGTGTGACTTTCATATTACAGGCTTTCTTCACAACGCAAGACTCCTCAGGGTTTTCCCAGATCAAAAGGGATCCTTTGGGAGCCTCAGAACTCGGGGTGGGGGACAGGAAGCTTTCAATTAAATTAAAAGGTAACATTATGGGCTGATGACATCACTGCTATTTATGAGGATGCAGCTGTGCCAACTGAATTTGAGTCAACATACTTTTCAACATCCAAAACTGACCAAAATGGAATATAGGCTTTGGACAACAAAACTAATGATGCATATAATTCTCTCCCACTGAATTCAATGGGGCTTAGAAAAATGCCCACCTTTGGCTAGTTATACTCAAGTTTGATAGTTAAATGTAAAGTTAGGGAAAAACTTTATGTTGTGATATGCAAAGAGAAGTTAGATAAATGGTCATTTCTAGAAACTCAGGTCCATTGCAAAGCATGTGTAACATTCTAGTAAAGATTCACTAGGAATAATAAATATTGGCAAATATGCAATAAATTTAACTGTATAATAATGACAGTAAAGTGAAACTTGCATTTAAAAGAAGAAAAAAAATGGTATTCTTGCATTGGGGTGAACTTTTCATTAATACAATTAAGCAGGTTGCATGTGTTGGCTATTCACATTATTGCTCTGCTACATGAAGAACAGGCCCTTAACATATGTTACAGTTCATGTACATTAAAATTCAGAAAACAAGGTTCAGAAATACCTGTATTAACTAAGCATAGAACATAATACATGAAGATATGCACAGCCAAGAAACTATGAACTGGCCTGGCCTAAGTATACTATTATATATCCATATTTTAAAAATGCTTTCTTGTGCAAACAGTAAAAACAAGAAACTGAAACCTAGCTATGTAAACATTAAAAAGAAAATAAATGGAAGCTGGGATGCAATAAGTATTTATCCAAAACATTCAGTAAGCTATTAAGTTAAATGACCAATGTTTGATTTATACATCTGATACACAGATGTAAAAAACCCCCAAGATATTAACATATCCATAGCCCTGGGTATAATTTATTCATGTTTTACATACAAATGCTCCACACCAAAGGAAAATAAAAATGAGAAATGAGAAAGTTATTTGTACCTAAGTCCCACTGAAATTAAAGGGACACAACTAACTTGGACCATTGATTTTACTGGGACTTAAGAACACCTAATTTTATATGGACTGGAGCCAACCACTGTAACACTTAAAAACTTAAACTAATGAAGCATTTATTTAACAAACATATTTATGACAATTCTGCATCTTGTGTACTATTAGATCTGGTAAACAAAAACAGTAAAGCTGTTACATTTCATCAGCCACAATACACATGGACACTCACACGCATATGCACTCTCAGTCATTCTTGCACACTTGCACACCAATGGAGTTGGTACAAATATTGGTCTATTTTTGCCCCCTACCATGGTTAAGAGACTAGGAGAGGGTTGTGGGATCATGTTACATCTCATCCCACCCCAGTCACTCTCTTAGTCATGTAACTGAGCATTGTTATATGTGAACCAGCCCTCAGAGAAATACTAGGGATTTTTATGATCCTGAGCAATATTAACCATTGGAAACATGCAGGTGTACCACTGACTCTACCAGTGGAATAATACCAATCCAATTTCAAGTTTGGTGGGGAAGAACATCTTCAAATCAGACAGGTTTTCTTTATAAAACAGGAAAATGTGTAAAAGATAACCAATATTTGGGTTTCAAGGAAGGGATCGCAAAATGCTACCTGTTATTCCCACAGGTGGCTTATTACTTGCATTACAATGGAGGCAAAGGGGCAAAAAAGACCAATATATACAAATATGCCACTGGGAAAATAGGCAGAGATTCAGAGAAGATGCAAGTGACTTCCAAATTTTATAATGTACAGATGCAAACTGTGGGGATTTAAAATACCTTCTTACTTATAGCCAGTTTTGGTTGTATGTTTATAGCTACATATCTGTGTGTGTGTTTCTGTATGTGTACAAAGCACACATAGATATATGTACTTCTACATATATATCAATACATCTAAAGAAATAGATATAGATATATATGACATGACCCTAGAAAATCAGAACTGATCAACAACAGGAGACAGGTAATAACTTAAATCGCATTATCATTTGCCTGAAATGACATCTGCAACATTTGACAAAATGCACTTTGAACATGCCGTTACCAAAAAAGAGAGAAGGAAAACATATGAATGAAGAACACCACAATATTCTGTAGAACCAATGCTGTATCACCATCAGGAGAGCACCAAGCAAGGCACCATTGGAAAAAGACAACATACTCGGGAAGTCTCTAAGGAAAACAAATGCTAATCTGGTCGAAAAATGGGTGTCTTTGGTAAAAATTCTATAAGAATGACCTGTGCAAACGAGAGAAAAGAAAATAGACATTTGGTCAATTACTGATAGCAATGACAACTTTTCAAAAACTCAGCAATCTCCCTAAAATCCAAGGTGAAAAGTAACTGTGGCTGGATCCCAAACAAGCATTCTATGAATATTTGAGGGCTTATAAGTACCCAGATGTGTCTTTCCTTGCTTTGAGCCTAAGCAAGCTGAACAAAAAGATGCCTCACTTCCCTACCAATCTAGGTACCGAAGCTGACCAGATCAGTAGTTCAATCTTACTTCATCACTGGTAGCAGGACACTATCCCTCACTGCACTCAAGAGCAAGAGGATACGTTGGATGGCAAAGTGTGGGTCACGTGGCATATCCAACTCTGTCCTCCATCGTCACCTTGCTGCTGCCCTCTATTCTCCCAGCTTGTGGAAACATTTCCGTTTATCTAAAGGGAGGACTGTTCCTTCCAAAAAGGTAACAACCATCTATCTCCAAAAGCAGAGCAGGCAGCTTTGGCATACTTGGGGACAATGTAGCGGTCTGTGCTTCTGCCCAGGCCCAAAGTGATCAGAAGATCACTTCTGGTTGCAGGGTCAGAAAGGGCCCCTCTGCACACACATACTAAGACAAGCCCCTGAGGTTTTGGAGAACAAGACAGGAAGAGGTACAATATATATGTAGTCTGTAAGCCACATGCTGGCCCTCAACTCTTAAAAGAAAATGTTGTATAATGAAGAGCAACTCAACATCAAGTCTGTTAGAACTCAAGTTATAATTAAACCAAATATTAAATTTCAACACTTTAAGACTATTTTCATCCCTAGGCCCACCCTGCTTTTTCCTCCTGCATTGATGGGTTGCTATTTTCATAGTACACTAATACCCCATTTAATGCTTAGGATACATTGCAAGGAAATGGAGGACTAACTGAATCAGTGTTAAATGGAACAGTTTTATACTTTGCCTTATTGGGTAAGATATTCTCCATTTCACCCTTGATGGTCTCATCAACAGTTGCAAACATTTAGTATAAATATGTATACAGATACATGTGTATCAGCTAGGCAGAGAGAAAGCAGAGGACTGTTTCCAGTACAGTAACAAGAACAGAAATTTGTTCACCTCTTGGGTGGGCTATCATTTCCAATGGAGGTGGAGTTTAATCGAGAAAGTGGCAGGGCAAGATTTTGTAATGGCAGCTGCTGCTACGGTATTTGCAGCAATGTGGTATCTACACGAGAGGAACATGCATCCTCCAAGTACAATAACAAAAATAGAAACAGAGCTTGATTCTCTCCTCTGGTCATCATCTGAGTGGCTCGATCACATTCATTTTTATGGGGCAGAAGACTCCATGATAACCACGTTCTGGTAACAGAATTATGGTGGAAAGGCCCAGGCTTAATTTTTGTTCTCATTACAAACTGGAACAGAATCCTCTGATTTCTTCCTCTGACTACATGATATACATATACTGTACATACAGTATACACACCACAAAATTAGCACCCCAGCCCATGCACTGTAGCAAATAAGTGCTATATGGGGGCAGCATTATGTAGAGTATTATTGTAAAATGTTTCTGACATAAACACAGAACGTTGTTCTGAGTTTAAGCTTAGTAATGCAGGAAGGTGACAAGTACAAAAAGTGGTAAAAGAGTCCCAAATACAACTTACTCAGTTTTCTACTCTTTTAAAAAGAAGCTTGTGAGAATAGTGGGAGAGGAATTATATTATAAATGCATCTCTCACATACAGACGGTTTTCCTTCTAAATTATTGTATGGGTAAAACTTTACACACTACTTAAATATGGTTGTGACATCAATTAAAACTGATGTTTAGCAAGGCAAGAAAACTGTCTTCCTAAGAAGGCAAAATGAAGAGTTTATTCCATTTAGGAACAGAGGAAGCTGCCTTATAGTGGCTTTATAGACCTATCCTATCAACTCCAATTAATAAAAGTTCTGCAAGATTTTATGCAGGATTCTTCCCTAACCTGGAAATCAGACCATTGTGGTCTCTCACACAAGCACTAGCCAGGCCTGGTCATTTAGCTTCCAAGATAGGATCAGTAGGTTTAGCATAGTAACTATCCCGGTCTATTCCACCTCACAAGTTTACCCCATCTCCTAATGCTTGAAATTAAAAGACATTAGCTGAAATTCAGTAGTGAATCACAACTAAAGTAGACAGTGGAACTTACAAAAGAGTTTACTAACCAGATCCACACCGATTCAATGAGACTACTCTGGTTGTGACTTACTACTGAGTTTCAGCCAATGTGGGATATATACCGTACTTTTATAATAGGAGAGAGTTCCTGTAAATCTCTTGCCTGATTAAACCATTTATACTTTGTAACATTGCCAAAGGTTAATACTTTGCTAGTTCTGAGGCTACACATATATTGTTACATATCTCAGAATAAATTGCAGAACTACAAATATGTCAAGCAGTGATCAAATACATAACGACCTAAATAATTTTGCCTAGATACACTAATGTAGCACAAATAGCTTAACTTTTCGGAGGGAAATTGCCCTAAATTAAGAAACCAACTTAGATATTATCAGTTGCACACTTGGGCAATCTATATAGCTATGCAAGAGATTTTGGCCACTGCATCAAAACAGAGTTCAAATCAAATTCAATGCATCAATGCAGAAAGACATCTAGCTAAAAATCCAAATGTTTGTGTGAATTATGGTAGAAAATAAAGTAGACTTGTTATATCAGCACTAAAGTATTACTGATAGACTGTGTCTACTCCAGTCAGGACTTGTAACTGGATTTTGCCCAATATGTTGGATCCAAATGCCATCTTTTATAATTGGAAAGAGCTTCTTGTGACAAAAATTTCTGTTATGAGAAAGTGACTTTTGGTTGTAGAACAATGGGACTACTATCAGCTAAATATGCAAAGTGTGTAGCCGAACGTGCAAAACATGTAAACACACAAATGTTACGGTCCAATACCAAGTTAGCTCACATATTCATTAAGCATGTAATAATAAACACCTCCTAAATAGGATGTTGAATTTAAACAGAAATTGTAAAACTTTACATTATTATATTAGGCTTGAAGACTACTATCTCAACTTATTTTCACCTGAACTCCTTGATGGAAAATGATAATTTTAATTTGAACCTGAACTCCTTGATGGAAAAGATACTTTTAATTTGAATGAGTCTCCATGTAAGTATGTTGAAGAGCATGTCCTTTATATGTAACTGGGTTTTAAAATGCCTGAAGCATTTCATAATTTAAATCCAGAATTTAATTCTTTGTATAAGCCAATCAAAAAAATTGTGTCAAGTTTCTTTTCCTGCTTCTTATTATTACAACATTATCATGTCTCTGATTATAAATTAAGATGTTCACTATAATAGAGGACCATAAATTAACATGCTAAGTACAATAGATTTAAAAAAGAATAGAGATATTTGGGAGGAGGAAAGCATTTTAGTATGCCTTTTATGTTTTATGGTAGATATTGGTCTTAGTATTTCCTTTTTCTCCACTGCTAGCATAAAAGATGATTTTAAGATAATTTGTAACTAAGCACTGTTTTAAATCAGTTCTCTAACACATAGCTGATAATGCACGTATTGTGTTAAACAATGGAGGAGACACATAATTAAAGGGCATGGATATATTAAAATAGCTACAGATAGATACTTGTGGGGATGAGGATTAGTCCTAATTTGTTAACCACTACTTGTACATTTTATGATACTTGGAATATTTTACATTGGTGCATTTGTTTTAAAATAGATAAATATTCAGATACATTCCCAAGACTACCCCCTCAAGTTTAAAAGTAAAATAAAATAGGATCGTAAAATTTGATTGCTGAAACGGGTGCAATCAGGGAGGGAAGTTAAGAAAGACAGTAACATCCTGGAAAGACTCCTAACAATATGCAAACTTCATATTCTGTACAAACTTTGAAATACAGAATAGGAGCAAAAATCTGTACACATTTCCCCTCCTTTCTTACTATTAAAGTTTTTAAAACATTACACTGAGGCTAATAAAGCTCAAGTTACTTTCAAGACCGCAGAGGTATGGGGGCAGTTAAAATCTACAACATGTAAAGGTTTCCTAAGCTCCAGCAGTTTAGTTGAAAGGTCTCTTTCCATACACTGAGACTTGATTAGCATTATATAAAACAGCCCACATCTAACTCACTGCGTAACCAAAGTTGCAGTTTCTTTTTTATACAGCATCTGAAAATTTCACACTCGATCAACACACGTTCAACCTATTTTATCTTGGCAATTAATTTATTATTTTTCCAGGACACAGTGAAGCCTTGTTTTCAAGTCATTCATAACTTTATAAATCAGCCCTACACATGAAACCATACATCTGTGAACCGTAGAAAATCCTTGCCACTCAGGCGATTAAGTTCCTGACACCTTTGCTGATTAATAATCATGGAAAGAATAAGATCAGAAGCAAAATAAATGATCATTTAATAGAGAAACGCACAAAACAGCCCTTTAACTTACATATTCCATCATGTTATTCGATTCACATTTCCTTTTGCTTAGCCTCCAATGCAAGCACAGCTAGACAACAGGGCGAAAAAAGAGAAAGAAAAATGAGCTGTATTTTATCGCTGGCACAGAGACGAGCCCATTTGTCCACCTTTCATATTTTGCGTTCAACAAAAGCATCTGTTTCCATACTGTGCAATTCAGGCCCCAGCAGTACGAAGCTGCTCCCTGCGGCACTCACCTTGTGGTATAACCTATTGTTTTCCCATTCTAATAACTTCTCAATCGATCTTCGTGTCTGGAAGACAAATGAGAAAGAATTTACTCTTGAGTAGTTTTAGAAAAAAACTTTGTTTTGCAGCTGCCTTTGTGTGCAAAAGATGGGGGAAGGACAGAAAAGGTAAAGGACAGAGACTGAGTATCAGGTGGTCCAGCTGCACTATTAATTTTGTAGGACAAAGATTAGTTTTAATAAAAATATGTTAATGTTAACATAAAGCAACATTAACACATATTTAAATAGGAAACACATATATGTGTATGTATGCACATGTGTAGGTTTTTCAAGTACATTCAGCTGTTTTTGTCAATAGCACCCCTCAATGAACCAAGGTAGACCCACTGAAGTTGTTGAGGCAAAATCATTCCAAATTTAAGTAACCTGAAAAAATGAGTTGCGGACCCAAACATGGGGCAGATTCCATATCCAAAACACAACCCATATTATAACTATGATGTATACCAAGTGCTGTGCTGCTGTTTTCATAGGTTGAAGACCTAAATCTATGGCTGAGACATAAATTTATGTACCAGTTTATGTAGATATTCTGCAGAATATATTAAATCCCTATGTTGGTAAGGTTCCCTGAATAAAAATTCTCTAGTTTGAATGTGGATATTTAAATCTGCTGGCACTAAACCTGCCACTCTGAAGACACAATCAGTATTCTGATTCAGTTACATTAACATGCAAGAAATACATGCTGCTATTCATGTCACTTGACTGCCATATCATCCACTGCTCAGCAGTAAAATAGGATTTACTAGTCTTTATGAATAAGGGAATAAATCACAACACCAGGTGTTGAGATGAGACCAATGTTGCAGGTGCAAAGGCATGGATCACTGAGCCCTGTGGCAAATTCAACTTCGTACAGCTGCAACTTCCTTACAAGGCAAGAAGAAGCTGGGGGAGGGAGAAGGGGGAGGGAAGCATCTTGCACTTCAACTACAGCTAAACAAGCAATGCTACAAACTGCATGCTGGTACATCAGTCACAATTATAAAAAATACTTTAATTCCAATCTACTTACTAGAGTGCCAAAGGAAAAGGATATACAGTACCAAGGATTTCTCCTTAGTTCCAAGAGTTACAAGAGAAGAAACGATTACAGGACCATAAACCTAAACTGGCTACTTGAAAGAATAAATTATATTAAGCTTGAATAATTATATGTTATTAAACCGATTACTAGTTTTAAAATCAAAGGGATTCCCAAGAACTTTGAGACACTTTTAATAGCAACAACTGCATTACTGCATTGTATTTTTAAAGTTCTGTTCCTTTTGGCTAATACTTTTTATTCTATTTTCTTAAAAACAGTGCCTGCCCTCTAACAATGATCGGCAGACCTCACTTGTTTCTTTGTAAAGATAGCCTTTTAGAGTCTGCTCTCCTTTTAAATGAAAATAGGGCAGCAGTTATGGTCACACTTTTGTTAATTTAGTTGCCAGTCAGCTCCAAATCAAAAGAAAATAAGGCTGCAGAGTGTAATTAACATTCAGTTCAGTCGTTTTGTCCCTTGTCTAGCCCCCTGAGCTTTGTTAAAATTGCCATCTGAATGCTGAAGGCTGTAGGGAAATCGATTTGATTCTAATCGCACCATGAAAAGAACATGATCTAACTGCTTTCAGCCCTCCGTAAATCTGTACTAGGTCTTTAGCACAATGCAACTTCCAATTTAAAAAGCACTGAATGTCTCGTCAATGACTTTGTGAAGAAAAAAGAACAAGGAGCAGACATAAAAATTCCAATAGTTGTTTAAGCATTAAAGCTCATTTGCATCACAGCAAACCTGAAAAGGGCTGACCTCTCAAACCGCCTCTCAGGTCTATGAAGTTGTAGCCTTGACAAGCTCACATTGACAGAGCTCATTGACTCTGAAAGGCTACTCTATCAATGGTGAAAAATGGCAATAGGTTCTACTTCGAGCAGGCATCTGCCTGCCCACCCGCTGCTAAACCAATGGCAAAACTGATTCAAAAATGTGAAGCTACCTTGTAATCTTCCTTGCCAGAACCTTTTAAATAATAGATTAATACTGCTGTACAATTTAAATTTCATTGCCTGTACAGAAGGGAAGGTGAAAAGATGGAAAAGAAATCGGCTTCCCAAATACTAGTACAATTAATACGCTTTACACTCTAAATAGGAAACTGAATACAGAAGACTTAATAGAACATTCTGAAGGAATCTCCTAAACTTTTTATAGAAAGAAATTTAACACATCATTACTGTTACTCTTATTGAAGGTAGGTTTTAAGTATGAATATGGGTAGAGCACAGATTTTTAAGTAAATATTAGCCAGCTTTAAAAAAGTAGTTTATTATTAAGCAGACATGCAAAGCACACACACAGAGACATGCTTTTTCCTCTTTTATTTCAATTTAATGAAACCTGAACCCAAATGATCACAGTATATAAAATTCACATACGCCTCTTATTCTCATAAATTAGACTTACACATATAGATTGCAACATTTAAAGTTGCCTCAACTGACGACTCAAACGATGAATTAAAGTTTAAATGGAAGTACCTCTCAGTGTGGGGAAAAGATAAATTAAAGGGTATCATACAAGTCCATACTAGAACTTTCCTTCCCCTACTTTATAGGTGGGGGGGAAATAACTTGCATGTGCACTTAATTAATCAGTGCTCTTCACAGTTCAATGATTTTCAGTAAGGACTAGGTAAAGATACTCAGAACTCAAAATGAACTCTTGATCCAAGTGTAAAATTAGGATATCAACTTTGCTGATTCGTTAGCAATGGAAAACAGAAGACCTAGCAGCATACTTGCCAATAACAACAAAACACAAGGTAAGTGGAAAAGAGTGTACTAGGAAGATACAAAAAGGTAACAATAATAGCTATTTCTTCCTTCAAACTAATATTTAAACAAAAATAAACTGGAATATGAAAAAAAAATCTTATTAAGAAACTTAATGTGATTATTTATATAAGCTATCTTGAACAAATGGCAAGGCATAATGCCAATAAATAAAATACTGTGAGAAATGTGCTGCAAATTCAGCTTTATCTTATGTTAGGAAGTAAACTATGATGGGAAACAACTTTGCTGAGTTCAGTGGAACTAATTTCAAACCAAGCTGCACAGGACTGCAGAATTTTCTTTCTAATTATACTTTTTTTTAAAAAGCTAAGCAAGCGTAAAGAAATACTGAAGTAGAACACACAACTCAAATGTTGTTTAATTGAATGTGTAGGGACTAAATTAAAAAAAATTACATTCAACATTGAAGTTATTTTTCAAATTGCTATAAATATTTGCATTCAGCAAACAAAGACTTGTTATGAAAATCCTCTTTCATTTACTATACAGAATTGAATTTTGAAATGCAGCACAACCCAATCTCAGGCTCAATGTGGGCATAAATTACACAAACTGCAAATACCTGCAAGCGCATCAGGACAGCACAGACCTCACAGCACTGTCAAAAGACTTAATATCCACATAGACGACTTATGTCACTGGAAGTCAATTCAGTTCAAGGAAAATATCTTCAGAACAACTTCAAATGTTAAACAGTTCACCACACATGCTAGTGCTGTAAACCTGCCTCACATGCAGTTCTTTAAACATATAACACATAAATACATTTTACAATCTATATGCAACTTTTTTTCCGATATGAGAAATAATTGTGTAGAAAACACATGATGAGAAAAAACCCTCATTCTAATGCTTTAAATTATAAGGTGGGGGAATTCTGTTCCTGTAAGTTAGTTTCTGTGACACAGCATTTAATGTTTGATTAAGAGAGTTGGACAACTACAACAGGATATGAAGGAATGATCTAGGTTTAAGATACAGCTCATTGATACCAATTTAAGACTTATGTCCATTATGCATTTTTCTTTAAGCGAGGCTTGCAATGAAGTATTAAATGGAGCCCAAAACTACACTTTTGGAGGAGACTTTTCATTGAAAATTAAGGGCCAGAACTAACTGCTGGATTCAAATATGAGGAAATGTTGTATGAAGCCTAAGTGTCATGTTTCATCATGAGGAAAATGTATGAAACACGAACTTAAGGTCAAAATTTTATAGAAGGCACAAGTCTGACAAATGGTAGCTAGTTATACATTAAAGGGTTTTCCACACAAGTGATAATGAGAATTGTACCTTTGCAACTAAGATAAATAATTAAACAAGCCTCTGGTGGACATTACAGGACAATCTTATTGTGCTAAACAATCTTGCCTCTGAAACTCAAGAAGAGCTGATTTGTAAGTAAAGTCCAGCACATCTGTAATTCTCATATGTATAGTGAGGCATAGCTTAAATCAAACAAGCTTTGAACCTTTTTAATAATTCAAACAGAGTTAATTTGTACTTTCTGTGCTTCACCTGAGTGGCATGCGGTATGTGTGTATATCTATTTTGCACTGGGGGAGATTCTTAGTAAAGGTACGGTAACGTAGCAGCCACAAGGGCTTCCAAAGAATGTTCTTCTTTTTTAAAAAAAATATAAAGGCAGAAGTCTCCTCCCCAGGCTAGGAAGCACACCTCAGCTCCTGACATGCACTTTTGAAACTGAAAATGTCTTCAGAAATGCTCCTACATGATCACATAGTACTATTTTTAAGAAAGGGGGGGGGGAAGATAGTTGCTTCTGTCAGCCACAGTTCTTAGCATTTTGGCAAAGCTTTAGCCTTTAAATATATGCTTTAAAATAAAGAAGAAAAATGGTTTAAAAGCTCTCAAATCACCCCATATCACCCTAAGTTTAAATTTGTATTAATTCAAAATCTTGCTACAAAGAACACTGTTGATAATTTGGTAAGTAAATAATGAATCAGCAGTGTAACATTTACACAGAGCATTAGTATAAAATTTATGAAGCTTTTAATATTACTTCAAGAACTGAATTTTCTACAGAGATATGTTACCCTTTTATGTACTCTCAATAAGTAAACCAAATAAGTAAACCTTCCAGATGAATTCATAATTGACAATATAAAGATACATTAATTTAAACTGAATACTAAAATATACCAGGAAAGAATGCATAAGGAAGCACAGTGAATCCCATTAGAAACATGTATTTAAAATAAATACTAGTATACACCAGTGTTTGAAAACATTACCTTAAGCATTGCAATTTTATGAAGTATATTTATATACTTTTACACAATATGAAACATATTATAGACACTAATAACCTGAGCAATATTGACTTTACACAACTGAAAAAGAGGCCTTTAGTTTTTGTTGTTCCCTCAGAAAGAACTTCAGGACTCAAAACACATAAGCTACTATACATTAAAAAATAACTTTGTGGCACCTTTGGGATGCCCTTTTGAGGAATCTTTATATACAGATTTCACTCTATCTCTTCCTCCACAGCTGGCAATTTCCTCATTGGAAATATAAATACAATGCCAGTATTGTATTTTAAAAAAGTATTACCGGCATTCATAAGTTTTTGAAAGCTGCTTTTCAAAACAGAGCAATATACAGAAGAAACTAGTAGTGAATCTGAAAGATCGTATAGCATAAGATGTTAAGTATAGTCTTACTTACTCTTTTACTGAGGCATATCACTGGCCACATACTACAACCTAAAGTACAGCAGCAGCAAAGGCAGCCACAAAGAAGCCATCGGACATTAACTGGAAGGTTCTTCTTAAGACAGCTATTCACTCTGCTAATGCTGGCTTTAAATTCCTCAGGTGCAACCTGTAAAAAGCAACCATAAGGTTCAGTCACACATCAACTTCCATGCTGATTTGAATTAATATTTTTGCTGTTATGTGCTATCAAGTTGCTTTCAACTTATGGCAACCCTAATACAGAATTTGAATTATCTGAGACATTCAAGAAGTGGCTTACCATTACCACTCTTGACCCGAGTTTCCATGGCCAAATGAGGATATGAGCGCAGGTCTCCTGAGTCCTAGTGCAACACTCTATCCACTGCATCACAGAAGCTCTCAACAATGCCGCTCCGAAAACACGAAGCTAACTGAATTATAATCTTTGTCATTGCTTCTAATCAAATTTTCCCACATAGGTACTTACTTTTCCTGTTAACGATGAAGGAAACTCTGCTTCAAATTTGTTGCTCAGCCCAAACCTATGAATACAAAATTAATATATTTTTCATGTCCAAGGCTGTAAAAAATAAACACATCAAAGTAGAAAACAGTATTTGCCAGAGATCTATACTGTTCTGTACAAGAAAGTGTCCACAATATCAGAATGAAAATGTTTGCCCCTTTTTACACTGTACATGCTTACTTAAGAAAGTTCTGTTACAACTGATGAATGCATAATACATATGTGAAGTATCCTAGTTGAAACGTCCTTAAGTGTCTGCTTGAAAAATACATAGCAAATTGACAACAGTTTTTGCTAAGGCCTGAACAGTTAATGCTGGCATCCAGTGCCAATGAAAAAAAGGAAAAAATCCTTCCTTCCCTGTCCTGCTGCCACCCTACATGGTGCCAAGAAGCTTGCTGCAGAGGATTTCCTGGCCGCCAGAGCATGTTTCTGTTGCACTGGGAAAAATCACATTCAGAGTAGCAGAAACAGTGGGATCCAGCAAAAGTACATAAGTGAACTCCAGCCTATGTTTCAAAGCTGTCTATATTTGTTCGGGTTATACAAAGAATGGAAAGAGTCATTTTTAAAACTTCAGAATTATTAACAGAATTTATTATTAACATTCAAATCTCGAGAGATAAAAACAATCCATGGTATTAATGCTTTAATAACTGTGAAGCCTACATACTCTTCTTACTTCATCTGTTAAATTTCTGATGTTTCCTCACTTTTAGGCCCCTGTACAATCTGTCATCTACAAACAAAACTGCAGGGATATCTTCATTGATTCTGTCACTTGGGGAGAACTAAGTACAATAGAAGCATTCAACAAACAGTTTTTTCTCTTGCAGGTTCTACCAATACCCACTTCATTGCCAAAGCTCCTTGATTCATACACAGGTATCTTCAGGATTTTGGGGGAGGGTGAGCTAACAACCAAAAATGTGAGATGGCATACTCACACAAAGAGTATGTTCCACAACTTGCTGCCCATCTTTGTTTTTCTAGGGAATTGTCTCTTCAGTCAAAAGCACCAGCAGCACTCCCTAGTTGCACTAGCTTCCAATCAGTTTTCAGTCCAATTCAAATACTGTTTAAAGCCCTGAAAGCTGAAGAGCTACTATATGCACAGGAATGCCTCTATCCACATGTTTCTCCCTACTTTACCTGAAGAATACAATCATTCTCTCTAACTTCAAACTCAAATGATGAAGTGTTAAGAGACCTGGAGACAAAACAGGGTCAACGATGATTCCACAGAGATGCAGAAGTACGTAATATTAAAAAAAATCACTAAAGGGGAGCAACCCTCATAACACAAAAATACCTAACAAAGACTAAGCATGCTTGGTTGGAAAATAAAACCAGATGTAGTGTACTGGCCTGCTTAGATTCCTTTTAACTTACAGTATCTTGGAGAAAGCCATAACTGACGCACATGGAACAAGAGACCTCTTCCAGGGCCTAGGTAAATACTACATCAATCTGCTGGAAATTTCACTTGTATCAATTGAAGAAATCCACTCAGTGGCCAGTTTTTGATGGTAGCACCAAATCTTTGAATATCTTCACCAAGAACTTTTTAGAAAATTCTGCTTCCATTTATCAGGAAGAACTAAGTACAACTGAAATATTCAGCAGATTGTTTTTTCTGTTGCTCAGTCCACCTATACTCACTTCACTGCTGAAGCCCTTGATATATACACAGGTATCTTTTCAGGATTTAGGTTAGGAGGTGAGCTAAAAGCCAAAAAGTATGAGATGGAATCTCACTTTGGTTAGCAGTCACATGTTAATATAACTAATACACAGGCCTGGTTTAGGTGATTGAGCCCCTTTCCTGGCAGTTTGTGTTACTAACTCCATATTTTTAGTAGTTATATAAATAAAGCCAACTTTATTTATATTGCATAATGATAAGAGATTTCACTGTAACCATCTCAACAAAAATAAAGGCAAACAATTCATTTCAGTATAAATAAACTACTCTCAGACAAGGTATGAAAGATGGCAAACACATCTGTTATACAGAGTGGAGGTGAGACTGGACAAAGTAAAACTGGACAAAAATGCTCACATACAGAAGCAGAACTCCTTTAAGTAGTGAAAGATATAAGTTCCTGTCACCTCTGTATCTTCCAAACTGGAAAGTCAACATGGCAGTAATTTGCTAATCTGATTACTAGGGCACATAACTGTAAGGGAATCCCCTCACTAGATACTATCAACTTCTAAATACCAATGCCTGTTTAATCTTTGGTCACTTGGTTCTAAAAAAGGGAAAACAAGTGAGACCACATATTTTATTATTCTGTAAAGGATCCACCAGCCATCTTTAGAGATGTGAACATTTGTGAGAAAAAAAGGAAACATTCAAGGAAAACACTCCCCATACATTTTTAGAATTTGTATAATACATATATGCATGTTTGTGTGGGGAAAAAAAAGAGCCTCGTGGTGCAGTGGTTAAAACGCTGTACTGCAGCTAAAACTGTGCTCACGACCTGGGGTTCAAATCCCAGGTAGCCGGCTCAAGGTTGACTCAGCCTTCTATCCTTCCGAGGTCGGTAAAATGAGTACCCAGCTTGCTGGGGGGGCAATGTGTAGCCTGTATAATTAAACTGTAAACCGCCCGGAGAGTGCTTGTAGCGCTATGGGGCGGTATATAAGTCCAAAAATAAATAAATAAAATAAAATTAGAGTGTCTAAGCAAAGAAGTAATATATTAGAATTAACAACTTACTGAATTTCATTACTTTTTTGAACCAAACTCAGAAAAATGATTGTTTGAAAAGAAATATTTTGACATACTCGCTCCAGCAGGCACATGTCAATCAACATTTCTTCTCCCTCACATATTTCCCTTTAAAAACTAGACTGATAGTATGTACATATTGTAGATAAAATTATATGGCCAAGGGTCAGGTATCTAGACTACCCAGACAACTCTAGGACTGTTAAGAATTTATGATAGTGGTTCCCAGTCTCAGGTAACCCAGATGTTCTTCGACTGCAACTCTGAGAAATCCCAGCCAGCACAGCTAGCGGTGCAGGTTTCTGGGAGTTACAGTCCAAGAAGACCAGGGTTAGCCTAGGTTGGGAACCACAGCTCTACGTCATTCCTTTGCTCCAAAATCCTTAGTGGAGCTGAGCTCATTAAACAATTTCCATTTTGAATGTTAACAACCCCAATATTTAACATTTAAGGTCTACTAATTACTTCTCAGATCTAATGTTCAAGCTCTGAAATAAATATACTTGAATGTGTTTTAGATAATGAAATAGTTTTGTTTTAATGTTGAACAAGATATTTAAGACATATTGCTACTCATTTTTTTATACACAGAATTTGATACTGGAGAGGTACTTTCAAATGCTGCAGAATAAAGAATACATTCAGGTATGATGTAGGAATGCAATCTGGAATTCTGCCAGGCATATTTTTCCTGGAATGCAGGGCCAAAACCCTTTTTACAATAGCCTGCTACCCCTCTTGCTTCTTGTGTACTACGCATTTCTCCATATTCTGCAGCAGATTAAAGGAGCTGCCCTGTATTTGCAAATAACTCACATAAATTAAAAACACAGTGGTGTGCAGAAGGGCACAGAAGTTTGTAATAAACTAGGCAATCCTTTCATTTTTATATACCCATAAAGGCACAAAACCCCCCACGTAATCAGAATTAACAAATCACTAATTCAGAAAATGAAACAAAATTTCATGAAGCAAAATTAGTATTAAATGAGTCTTTTCTCTTTTTTAAAAAAGTGTGTGCAGGGTCTGCCTGATGTTGTACAACACATAATAATCTTTGTTGATGGCTTCTTCTGTTTTCAGATTTACCGTTCTACTGCTTCTTATCTGGGAGAACATGGAAACTATACAGAAAGTAAGTCAATAGTTTTTATCATGTGTGCATCCACGGGTAATATAAAGATAGAGGACAGCAATGGATGTGCCATGAAGAATTGTATTATCTCTAAAAACCATATAATGAATTCACAGATGGTATCAATCCTTTAAAAACTACTGTACAATAAAAAGAGATAAAAGACAGTTGGTTACTGTATACGTATTAAAGTTTGTCCCCTCTAAGTTCTATCAAAATGCAATACCCTGCAATCAAATACAAGTTTTTAATTAGGCTTATGAAGAGACTTTCTAAAGAATAAGCCATGGAACTGCAGTAGAAGTTCTGGAAGTAATCATGTCATCCTTAACCATAAGTGACTCTGCAAGGTCAAGCGGCTGCATTCCGTATCTTAAGCTCTTGGGGCATGTGTTATTCTCTCATCTTGACCTCCCTCTTTCTAGTAGTCAAGAAAGTCTGACCTTTTGCTCCCAAGAACACAATTAACTGTGGAAAAGAGATTATACTATAAAAAAGAATCATAATGAACCATGATGGCCTGATAATTAGCCACTAATAACTCTCATGCAGAGAATAAGAACACATGAGTTAAGATAAGAACTCCACAAAGTGTTAAAGTATGCACAAGATTTCAAGAATTGGTCCTATCAGATCTATTTTCCATCTCCTGATCAACAAAATAGGTGGCTTAAATGTATTAGAGACAGAACACAATTTCATACTGGAATACCTGAGGCTCAACTAATATTTTCTTATGTAGCTATGAAGACAATTGGGCCTTATCCTCCCACTGACTGTAATATCAAAAATTTCCTGAGCATGCAAGACTGCTGAAGCCTAATATATACCAATTATTACAAGAACTTTAAAAATAGTATGATAAATTCAGGCCATTAAATCTTCGCCATGACCATGGCAAAATTCAATGAATAAAAACAATTGCATAAAATAAAATTAAAAAGCAGTATACTGTATGTATTCCTTTTATATTGCAATTTGTCTCAAATGGAAATTGAAATGTAACACAAACAAAATTTACAATTCCCTTCCGAATTCATAAATATCCATCAAACACAATGAAATATGGTCAGCTTTTATTTATTTTTTAACAGAAAAAAAGAGAAAACAATGGAAAGAAAAAAAATTAACTCCTTTATAT